ATTTGCTGTCTCTTGTTCTATTGTTCTGCATTAGTTTCAACTTTCTGCCACTCTCCCTGATTACCTCCTGTGTGTATGTAAAGCTTTAGTTTGTTTATCTACATTATTATCGTTAACTTCATTTGAGTCATACTGTGTTCACTTTTGTCTCCCATGTGCCTTAATATTTAGTTTGCTAAAATTCTCCTACAACCTCAGTAAAAGGTTTGCCTCACCTCTTGTTTAGTTATGCCTAGTTTTGAGGTCTATATTTATGTCCCCTGTGCTAAGAAAAAAGACGATAACCAGCATGTAAACATGGATAAATGATGGACAATTTTAATTCTTCTATAACAGACGCCTTTGTTGCCCCTGTCAAAACATTTGTCAGACTCAAATTAATAATGAGGTCATATTTTTCATAAAATAGTAAACTTTCTGATATGTGGGGATTTGAACTTTGCATTCTGCTCTTTACATTTTACATAGAAAACCTACTTTTCAGGAATCAAGGTTGTACTTTTGAAACCTGTTTACAGCCAACATATATCGTTGATGAACTCTTATATGATTACTTTCATTTTCAAATTACAGATGCTGCTAAAATGTGTTATCTTTATTTCCAAATTGAAATTTCAGTTGAAACCGTATATGAGGAAATCACTGAGCACAAAGGGTTGTGGTTCACACTGAGGAAATGGAAGTCACATTGCTGTAACTTCATAGAACATTCAACAATATTCAGCAATCATAAAAAGATAGACTGAACATTTTGAAGGCTTCTTAACACAATCAAAAAAATAAATAAATAAAACTTAAATAAAGCTAGCTTTGACAATGTATCCACTATGAAAGAAAAGCTGAAATGTATTAAAGAGAATTGTGTTTTTCAACATTAAAGAAATATAAAAGTTATGAATATACTTACAAATTTGAGCATTTGCCATGTTTAATGTTTCCAGGCAGTAGAGCTGTGACGTGTCACTGTTGCTGTCTTGTCTAGTAAATAGTTTCCTTTTTGTTTCAACGTTTTTAAAGCCCATTTCTAGTCCCCTCCCCTTAACATCATTTGTCCTTGCTGGGCTTGTGTGAGAGCTAATATTAATCTTTGTTGACTAGGGTGTGTTTGTGTTACAAATGATAAGATATTTTATTGTCATTATACAAGAATGTACAACAATATTACAGAATTTGAACTATGTTCAGATCACTAGAGTGCTCAGGTGATCTGCTACGACTAGAGGGGAGGGGCAAAGACGCACTTTGCTTTGTTCATCGCTGATGAACTGTTGTATGAATAGTTTCATTTAAATTTCAGATCTTTGTGGTCTGTTGCTGGTTCCCTCCCACAATTTCAGCTGATACTCTTCAAACTACTGCCACAGAACAAGTATACAATAAAACAAAGAACATTATCTACCTCTGACCATGTTGTCACATGTCTTTGCAGTATTATAGCCACACATTGATGGTAAAATGTGTGAAGCAAATAACACCAGCAGTATTGATCTTGTACATTTTTGTGTGGGAATACATGACCCTGTGATAACAGAGCAAGCTAATAAACATGATATATCTGAGTTGATCTGTTCTTAAACGCAGTAGAGCTATGCTGTATCATCGCTGGCATCTTGTTTCGGAATAATTTCATTTTTATTTCAATACTACACCCTCTATTGGCTATTATAGTTAACTGGAAATAAAAACTAGAATTAGGTGTAAAAAAAAAAACCCAAACAAAACAAACCCAAACATTTCAGTTAATTAAATACAAATTGTGTGACATCCGCAGAGACAGACGGCATGGAGTGGAGAGAGTGTGGACCCAAAAGCAGACAAAGGAGATGGAGGTGAACACTACAGAAGCCAAGCCTTTATTTTGGGACACACGGTTCTGTATTTCTTGGTTGTGAAAACAACAAATTTTGTGTTTTTAATCCTCAAAAATTGTGTTTCACAGTTTAGCAGCTTGTGATGAATTAAGATCTGTTTTCTGCATTTGCTTTTTCTCCCTTTTCTTCTTCACGTGGGCTTTGAGGTTGTTGAGTAAATGGCATGATTTCTTACCTTCTCTAGTATGATCTGTTTCCAGGAAACACATGTTCTCTTAATCTCTCTTGGTTGTTCCCCTCAGAGACCACTGATAAAGCTGTTTCTTGGTTGAGTAGTAATCTCATTGCCCAGGTCTGCTGCTGTTTATGGTGAATACTTAAGTTAGTTCCTGAACAGGTTCATGTTCCTTTTATCTGGATGCAGCAAATTTTACATTGACCATACACTGAGGAAAAAAACACAGCTATTTGAGAGGAATCTAGATAGTGTGGGCATCGCTGTCATAGGCTATTCGTATAGAGTGGAGGTGGCAGATTTTTCTGACGAATCAGCTTGTTGCTTGTAAAACCTCCAATACTGAATCAGTGGTTGATAATAGGAATAATTGATAATAGTTAGTAAGAATCTCCCAGTACTATGTGCTGTCCTGTATGGTGATAGTAGGGATGGAGGTCAACCAACAACATTTTGGAGGTGTCTACTCTGACACACTGAGGCTCAAAGGAAGGTTAAAACGAATTCTTTCTGGGAAAATTTATCCTTACCATCCTTGTCCAACTTCTAAATATACACTACATAAGTCTGGACACACTTTCTCATTCAATGTTTTGTCTTTATTTTTACTACTCTCTATGTTGTAGATGCATACGTCAAGAATATAAAGCAAGTTGTATGTGTAACACAGTAAAGGGAATTACTGAATAGATTACATTAATGGGCCAATAGGTTTGACTATAGGAGTACAGGGGTGTATTTACAGTGGGATGCAAAAGTTTGGGCAACCTTGTTAATAGTCATTATTTCCCTGTATAAATCGTTGGTTGTTACAATAAAAAATGTCAGTTAAATATATCATATAGGAGACGCACACAGTGATATTTGAGAAGTGAAATGAAGTTTATTGGATTTACAGAAAG